ACCAGGTCCAGAGCCTGTGAGGAGGGAGTGGCATCAGCATGGAAGTTGAAGTCTCCCAATACCAATAGGTTAGGGAACTCCAAGGCCCAGCCAGCCACCGCCTCCAGCAGGCCTGACAGGGTGGCTGCTGGTGCGCTAGGTGGCCGGTACACCAGCCAGACAGCCAAGCTCTCCTCGGAGCCCCACACTAGGCCAACACATTCAATGCCGGGGATCGATGGCGATGGTAGAGCCCTGAAAGGACAATCTTCCCGGATTAATACTGCCACCCCTCCCCCCCGGCCCACAGTCCGTGACTGGTGGAGGACGGAGAAACCCGGGGGCGCCATCTCTCGTAAGGTAACAGTTACCCCTTCGCGCACCCAGGTCTCCGTCACACAAGCCAGGTCGACCCCCAGCAAGATAAAGAAATCTCGCAGGGTGGCGGTTTTGTTGCCTATAGACCTGGCATTGCACAACACCAGTGAAGGAGGTGAGTAATCCTTGCTCACCCTACCCTCGTCTCGGGATGGGGCGCAGATTGGAAGGGGTACGAGCATATCCGTATCTCGATCCCCTTCGCCTATAACATCTGCCCCCACCGCCATACCTCCCTCGCCCCACTACGGTCGCAATCCCAAGCCTCATACTAACCTCCATCTACAAGGTAGAAAACAAAACAAAACAAAACAAAACAACCAAAAACAACTACGCCCAAACAAAACCAATCCCACCCCACTCAGTGTCCGACCCCAAAACAAAACGGAACAAAACAAAAATACATAGATAAAAACCACCATTCACGGTGGCACAACAAAGCAAACAATAAAAGCACCTCTAAAACACCCCAAAATACATCTAAGCATCTTTAACATTTGCTGCTGCCGCACCAGTGTCCCTAAAGCAATCATAGAGGTGGGCCTGGGCCCCGCCCCCTAGGCCAGATGGAATTAGCCTGAGGAGGGAGAGGCCTTTTCCAACACTCACAATGCGGCAGCAGCGATGTCCCAGTCCTCAATGAGGCCCTTTAAAGCTGTGGCGAAGGTGAGCCTGGGCCCCGCCCCCTAGGCCGATGGAATTAGCCTGAGGAGGGAGAGGCCTTCTCCAACACTCACAATGCGGCAGCAGCGATGTCCCAGTCCTCAATGAGGCCTTTTAAAGCTGTGGCGAAGGTGAGCCTGGGCCCCGCCCCCTAGGCCAGATGGAATTAGCCTGAGGAGGGAGAGGCCTTTTCCAACACTCACAATGCGGCAGCAGCGATGTCCCAGTCCTCAATGAGGCCCTTTAAAGCTGTGGCGAAGGTGAGCCTGGGCCCCGCCCCCTAGGCCGATGGAATTAGCCTGAGGAGGGAGAGGCCTTCTCCAACACTCACAATGCGGCAGCAGCGATGTCCCAGTCCTCAATGAGGCCTTTTAAAGCTGTGGCGAAGGTGAGCCTGGGCCCCGCCCCCTAGGCCGATGGAATTAGCCTGAGGAGGGAGAGGCCTTCTCCAACACTCACAATGTGGCAGCAGCGATGTCCCAGTCCTCAATGAGGCCTTTTAAAGCTGTGGCGAAGGTGAGCCTGGGCCCCGCCCCCTAGGCCAGATGGAATTAGCCTGAGGAGGGAGAGGCCTTTTCCAACACTCACAATGCGGATATTCTCACTCATCCTCACACAATTTTTGAGCATGCTCTTTGCAGGGCCCTGTTGACCTGTACAACCTTTACCAGTAACCTAAGGGCATACGCTTCTCACAGGCCCTGTTGCTGTGATCCTGAGTTGCCCTTGGGGTTGCCCAGAGGCCTATAACTAATACCGGTATTTTTTAAAACACTCAGACTCATACTGTTAAATTCTCTCTCTCTCTCTCTCTCTCTCTCTCTCTCTCTCTCTCTCTCACACACACACACACACACACACACACACACATATTATACACACACATCATATGTCATTCCCTTTCTCCTGCTACTGCAGGGGCCCTTTGGACCTTACTCCTGTCATGGTCTTTTTCCTGGAACCCGTTGTCTTTAAAGTGTGGCCTCCCGGCACCAGGAACGGGGAAGGATGACTCTCTTCGGAAATCCCCGAGTGCGCGCTTGAGTCAGGATTCGCTTCCTCAGCTAATAAGAATGATGCCAAATAAAATAAATTCAGATACAATCAATGAGACGATATACCAAAACAAAACAATAATACTTCACCAAAGAAGAGGTCTGAGAGGGTACCTAGGCTACAAATGGTTCAGCTTTCACTAAGTAGTGTAATTAGCTGACACTGTTAGTTAGTACAAAGTTGCATGCTAAAGGCCTCCAGCAGGTGAATTAGATGACATCCAGATTTCAAGGTACAGCACCTAATACACACACCAGCAATACAGATAACAGCAACACTTACAACTGCAAACCCAAACCTGGAATTACACAAAACAATTTAGGTCTAGTTCAGTGTTTAAACCTTTGGGGTGTAAGGATTTAAAAAAGGAAAATCAACCTGGCTTCTTGCTGATGTAACATAGTGACTTTTAAATTCACTTTCCATAACTTTTCCCAGTCTTCCATTTGTATGTTGTGTCCTATATCTTGTGCCCCACTTAATCATTACACTTTTTACCTCTTCATCTTTAGTTTCCTATTCTAATAATAAGTTATACATTTTCTTTAGGAGTCTGGTGTTCTCATCTATAATTTCTCTTTGGAATCTAGCTATGGTGCAACTGAATCCTTTTCTTGTTATCTTCTTTTAAAATCTCATTTATTTGATGATGTTGCAGCCAATCATAAACATAATCTTTTATTTCATTAAACTCCTTGAGTTTTAATTTCCCTTCTCTCTCTTCTAGTAGATCCCTATATGTAGGCCATACTCTTTCCCTATTTAATCTTTTTAATTGGGATACCAACCAATTAAAGTCTTTATGTACCTTCCCTTTATTATACCTTAGATATGCATGGCATCCAAATCTGTTATCATGTCCTTCCAGATCTAACAAATCTGTACAGTGGTGCCTCGCAAGACCAAATTAATCCGTTCCGCGAGTCTCTTCGTCTTGCGGTTTTTTTGTCTTGCGAAGCACGGCTATTAGCGGCTTAGCGGCTATTAACGGCTTAGCGGCTTTAAGAAAAAGGAAACAAACTTGCAAGAACTCGCAAGACGTTTCGTCTTGCAAAGCAAGCCCATAGGGAAATTCGTCTTGCGGAACGACTCAAAAAACGGAAAACCCTTTCGTCTAGCGAGTTTTTAGTCTTGCGAGGCATTCGTCTTGCGGGGCACCACTGTATTTTCTAATTTGATCCAATCCAAGTAACACAAACCGCTTCATAATAAAGTTTAAAATCTGGAAGGGAGAATCCTGCTCTGTCTTTATGTCTGTATTGTATATTTTATACTTGGTTGCTTCCCTTTCCAGATGAATTTTGAAACATCTTTTTGCCATTTTTGAAAGCATATTGTGCTACTTATAACTGGAATTGTCTGGAATAGAAACAACATTTTTGGCAATGCGTTCATCTTGATTGCCGCAATTCTTCTCGATAATGATAAATTTATCCTACTCCATATTTCTAGATTCCTTTTTATTCCATTCCAGATTTTTTCATAATTACCGTATTTTTCGCTCTATAACACGCAGATTTTTTCTCCTAAAAAGGAAGGGGAAATGTCTGTGCGTGTTATGCAGCGAATGTGTGGTCCCTGGAGCCGAAAAATCAGGCAAAACTCAAACCGCGCTTCAGTGAGAAGGGAAACCTGAGAAGAGGAAGTGGTTGCTTTCCTGCATTCTGCCTCAGGGTCTTACTGCCCACCCTCTCTGTTTCGTTACTGTGTTTGCTCAAACGGAACAAAGAGCAGGGAAAGCCCCTCCCCTCCAGGCAAGAAGAGAGGAAAGCAGAGCGTCCTTCGTTCTATCCTGTCCCTGCTCCGGAGGGAACAATGTTTGTGAAGGGAAGAGAGATTACAGGTTCGGCTTAAAATTCTGATTTGACTTCCTGCTTTTTGTTTTTGGAGACACACAGCATTCAAATATGCTTTCTTCCATTTAAAAGGATGAAATCCTTAAACAGTGTTTTGCCTGTAAATTCATGCGATCTGGAAGATTACAGTGTCTGTACCTCTTAAGGGATGGCAAAGCTTAGGTTTCGCTGCTAAATAGTTCTTAATGCATTTAAAATGCTTTCTTCTGTCAAGGCAGTTAAAAAAAAATACGTATATATCAGGCAGCCGGAAAACATGCAGCTGGGAGGGAGAGGGAGAGGGAGAGAGAGAGAGCATGCTGGCTGGCTTGTGTGGGTGGGTGGGGGGAAACTTTTGCCTTCCTTTCCTCACGTTATAGCCCTCTCCTGCATTCTTAGCCTTCTGTGTTTTTCCTTCCCTCCCCACTTAAAATGTGGTTACAAAGCATGGATCCACATGGATCCTCAGGATCTTTGCATTGGGTCAGCCAAAATTCACCATCAGAGCACATAGCATGTCCATGGCTACAGCCTGCCCCCCAAAAATCACGCACCCACTGTTGCCTGGGGCTGCAATGGTGCAAAAATGTGGTTACAAAGCATGGATCCACAGGGATTCTCAGGATTTTTGCATTGGGTCACCCCAAATTCACCATCAGATCACATGTCTGTGGCCACAGCATGAAGCACAAAAATGATACGTCCACTGTTTCATTCAGAATATTTTTTCCCTTGTTTTCCTCCTCTAAAAACGATGTGCGTGTTATGGTCAGGTGCGTGTTATAGTGCGAAAAATACGGTATCTTTATAAATATTAATTGACATTACTTCTAATGGAGATACCCATCAAAGGTGGGGGGGCTCTTTTCAAGTTTGTCTAGATCATGGAGCACCAATTGGTAGAACAGTGTGATAGATGGGTTGGAATTAGGTGGAACGAAGGAAGATTTGTGTTTAAACTGCTGTAATGGCTGAGTCATTGAATTAGAAACTACTAGGGACACAACATATTAAAATGTAGCTCATTTGGTGAGTTCTTTTTGCTGAGTTGCTCTTCTGATCCTTTCTTGCTCTCATCCTTTCTTGCAGGATGGTTTTTTTCTAAAGAAAAAAGAAAAAAAGAAAATTTACCCAGATGAAGAGGCCCCTGCAGGCAGTATGCTGCTGGCATTGGCGAAGCCTTCTCAATCAGCTGCAGAGGCCAGGAGGAAAACTCAGGCCCCACCAGTAGTCTTGTCAGGGTTGGTACAGCCCCAGACCAGCACTCTTCATCCGGTCAGCAGCAGGCAAGACCCAAGGCAGCAGCGGCCCTTGTCCCTGCTCAAAAAGAAGAGCCTCGAGGTCTCTACTCAGGCCCCACCAGTAGTCTTGCCAGGGTTGGTACAGCCCCAGACCAACACTCTTCATTCGGTCAGCAGCAGGCAAGACTCGAGGCAGCAGCGGCCCTTGTCCCTGCTCAAAAAGAAGAGCCTCAAGGACTCTGGGCCAGCGTTCCCAGGTGAGTAGGCAGAACCAGATCCCTTTTGGGTTTTCCTTGGCAAGGCCTGCATCATACAAGGCCGGGGTCTCTCTTGGTTTCCTTGATGGCTGGGTGCAAGTCCCCCCCACTTCACCTCTCCTTTTTAAGAGGCATGTAACATGGAGCAGGGACTTCCGGGTGGCTGCCCCTGTTCTGCATTGCTGGGGGTTGGACTAGGTGACCCCACAGGTCCCTTCAGACGCTACAGTTCTATGATCCCTGTTCAGATATGGCTTGCACCCGCTCATTGCAACAGTTGAGAAGCCCCCCGACAAAGAACTTGCCATCTTTTCTCGTGTATAAGACGAGGTTTTTTACCCCAAAAATCATGTGTCAAATTGGGGCTCCTCTTCTACATGGGTAGTGCTGAGGGGGCACGGGTGCTTGGTTGTAGCCACTCGGAGGAGATTTACAGCCATGATTTCTTTGCTGTGGAAAGGGCTGTTGTCGATTGGCTGCTGCTGTGGCAATCGGGCAGACGATAGGTGACTTGGTGGTTGATGTGTGCAATTTGATTAATGGCTCCCCCCCCCAAAGCTCTGGGCAACCCCTCCCCAAAAAAGCTTAACAAGTCTTGGCAATCTTCCCCCCATTTTCTAAATTTTGAGTACCCAAAAATCTTATACATGGGGGGGTGTTATACATGGAAAAATACGGTACCTTTGCCTCTCGTCTGCCTCATTTACTCACCTCTCTTTCTCTCTCTCTCTTTCTTTCTCAAGAACTCTCAGATGAAAACTTCGGGTACTTGTGGATGGGTAAGAAGATGCTGGGAGGAAGAACACTCAGAGAAACTTTGGAGATGATGAATAAGAGGGAAATTTTGGACACCATCCTCCAACACCTCCAGCCACCTCCCCAGGTGTGTGTGATGCAGGCTGGATTTGATTGAAATCAAATCAATTTAAATCATGATTCAAATCACTAGTCAGGAAAACTTGATTTAAATAATGTTTTTACATTTTTGCTGGTATAATCTTAATATTTACAACCAGATGAAGGTTTCATTTTGGGAATAATAATTTTTCAGAGTAGTTTTTACTACTGATTTGGTTATACTGTTAGGAATGCATAGACAGATAATTATGAAATTATTGTGAGGTATAATAAGTTAACTGTATACAGACGCTTCAGGTTATATACACTTCAGGTTACATACGCTTCAGGTTACAGACTCCGCTAACCCAGAAATAGTACATCAGGTTAAGAACTTTGCTTCAGGATGAGAACAGAAATCGTGGGGCGGTGGCATGGCACCAGCAGGAGGCCCCATTAGCTAAAGTGGTGCTTCAGGTTAAGAACAGTTTCAGGTTAAGAACGGACCTCCAGAACGAATTACGTTCTTAACCTGAGGTACCACTGTATGTTTGGACAACTTTTCTGCTGTACTTTATTGGAAGGAGAAAAATAATCATTTCCTTAATAACAATTTAAACAATTTATTTAACTAAAACAATAACATTATAGCATATATATCCATGTTTGCTTACTGATGTGGTTAAACTTTTTTTTAAAAAAAATTCTTAGGCTGAATTTTAGCATATATGAAAAACTTAAAAGAAATCCTTACTTCCCAGTGAATCGCCTTTGGACAAATATCTTTCGAAAGATTTTTCCTCCAAAAGCATTTTATTTTAGAAATCCAATTTAAATTTTTTAAAAATGTGATTTAAATCAAAGAAATCCATTTTTTAAAAAATTAAAAAATTGGATCATTGATTTTTATCCACCCTGGTCTGATGTCGCGCAGCGTGAACCAGGATTCTCCAACCTGGTGCCCTCTAAATGTTCTGGACCATATGCTGCCTGGGGCTGGTGGGAGCATGTAGAAGGGTTCAAGTTGAGGGGAACTGCCATGAACTATCACAGGCACTCCAGCTGTTTTGGGACTACAACTCCCATCATCCCTAGCTAACAGGACCAGCGGGTCAGGGGTGATGGGCATTGGAGTCCCCAAACAGCTGGAGGGCCGAGTTTGCCTATGCCTGAACCATTGGGAGCCCAGCTTGGAGGAAGGTCCTATTTGCAGATGCAAGAGGCGACTTTCCCCTGGTGAGAAGGAGTGGTGACCGCCAGCCTGGGGGGCTTGAAAAGAGGACCAGGCAAACTTGGGGAAGCAGATCAGTGCAGGATCTGTGGACCGGAAGAAGAACCAATCCATGAAATATATTTGGTGGGGTGACTTGGACCCCAGGAAATGTTGCATGTTTTTTTCTTTAACTTTTGCAACTGATCGTTCCCGATATCTGGGAACATTTCAGAACCCGATATTGTGCAGTAAAAGTTTTTGTCACTGTACTGTGCCAAATATGGTTAATATTTCCTCTTCGCTCTCAAGAGCAGTTAATTCGCCAGGCCTGTGCATTTGGCAGAGCAGGCAAACAAATACTTTATGCAACAGAAAATTTAATAAATAATAATACTGGGAGTGGTATTGTCTGTTTGTTATTATGGTATGTATTTTTGTGTTTTTATATTGTAAACCGCCCTGTGATCTTCGAATGATGGGCAGTACAGATATTTAATAAATAATAGTAATAGCCGCAATGCCTAGATTCTGTTTGTTCATGGCAGGAAACAAAGTGCTTTAAATGAATGGTGTGTCTCCCAGTCCAGAGGATTTATTTAATCTTCTTTGGAGTGTTACTTTAAAAAAGAAGAAGAATTGATTACAATAAATTTTACTCCAAATGATTTTTGCAAGAAGTCTATTTCTAGGCATGTGGGGTTTTTTAGAGAAGACAAATGGCAGATAGATGGCAACTGTTCTCTAGACAAGAAACATGACACTTTTCTTCATTTTATTCCCAGCAGAAGACATCCAAGCCTGGACACAACAAGGTAAGTCCTGAGTATCGTAGATGACATAGGGGGGGGGAGGGGGCGGCATACAATCTGAGAAAAGAGGAAGAGAGAAGTTTGACTCACTTTCTTAGCACAGGCCTTGTACATAGCAGGGAGACACTGAACGAAACATTCAGAGGCAAAGCTCCCTCAGAACTACCAAGTCAACCAGAGTGCAGGTTTCCTGAGTAAGCGTCAGCAAACAAAAGCTCCACCTTTCCCTCTTTTGGTTATTTGACTTGAACGTGAAAACAATTAACCTGGAACGACCTCCTGTTGGAAGGGTGAACTTCGAACAAGACCTTTTCTTGAAGGAGCGCGGGAGGTCATCCCCCCCCCCTGCTTAGCACACTCAGGCCCTGAGGGACAATCTAGAGGGGGCCGTAAAAATCTGGTCTCCAGCTGTTTTTAACTACAATTCCCATTGTCCCTGACCACTGGTCCTGCTAGCTAGGGGTGATGGGAGTTGTAGTCCAAAAACAGCTGGAGACCCAAGTTTGGGAAACCCTGATCTAACACTGTATTGTAAGAAGCTTTAAGGTTCCTGGGGTTCAGTGGGGGAAGCAAGACCATTCATGGGGCATGAGGGTGCTTCTAATGTCTGGTGCAGACGGAACTCCGGTTTCTTCTGAGTTTGAGGGTCCACAGCAATTGGCTCCCCCTTTCCCCCTTTGGGAAAAGAGAGGGGGCAGAGAGTTTGGCAGGTTGACCAACTCTGCCTCTTCTGGCTGTCCTCGCAGGGAATACTAGGAGGTCGTCTGAATGCAACCTGCTGCTCAGGTTTTCTCTCTTGGTAACCAACAACCGTGTCGCAGATGGGGTGCCACAAAAGAGAACGCCCTCTCCCAATTTCAGTCATGGAGTGAGGGTGGGGAAACCCATAAGAGGCTGCGGGTACAGGTATTAGTTCTCTTAAAAAGCGGGAAGAGCCTAGGGTCAGCGTATCTAGGACAAAAGTGTGTCATAAGAATGAAAGATGAGGCTGCTGGGTTAGACCAGCAACCTGCACAGTCCAGCATCCTTATCTCACAGTGGCCAACCAGATGCCCATGGGAAACTGGAAAGCAGCATTCGAACACAGAGGCCTTCTCCCCTTCCCGTGGTTTCCAGCAACTGGTATTCAGAAGCATTCCTGCCTCCAACAGTGGAGGCAGAGCAATTGGGACATGTTGAACTTTTCAGCTTTCAAATTCCCCAAATGAGGAGTACTAAAGAGTTGTAATAGGGACGCAGGTGGCGCTGTGGGTTAAACCACTGTGCAGCTTGGGCTTGCCAATCGGAAGGTTGGCGGTTCGAATCCCCACCACGGGGTGAGCTCCCGTTGTTCGGTCCCAGCTCCTGCTCACCTAGCAGTTCGAAAGCACACAGTGCAAGTAGATAATAATAATAATAATTTATTTATATCCTGCCCTCCCCAGCCGAAGCCAGTACCGCTCCGGCTGGAAGGTAAACGGCGTTTCCGTGTGCTGCTCTGGTTTTGCCAGAAGTGGCTTAGTCATGCTGGCCACATGACCTGGAAAAACTGTGCAAGCGGATAAATGCCGGCTCCCTCGACCTTAAAGCGAGATGAGCTTTAAGCCCAGAGTGGTTTGCGACTGGACTTAATTGTCAGGGGTCCCTTTATCTTTAAAGAGTTGCAACATGACTTGGGAATTCAGAAGATGTGGTTAAATTAATATAATTTAGTTTTGCGTGATAAGTAAACTATGTGTAAAATTGCATACAAATCATTAAAACAATTGTCTAGTACTTGCAATCTATTATTATTATTTAGTATTACCCAACATTTTCAGATGGTAAAATTGAAATTATTTGGTTTTCCAAAAACTGTTTATGTAGCTGGTGGGGTCTCCTCACTGTGACTCACCAAAACCTTCCCCAACCCTTAGAATGCCCTCTATAGATACTATGGACTCAAGCTACAGGATTCCAGGAGCATAGAGACAGTCCACCAGTACTTGCACTTACTCCTGACGTTGCCTCTCAAAGAGGAAACAGACAGAGAGGTGAGTGAATGTGTGGGATGGCAGGGGGGAGGAGAGCCAGCGGGACTGGGACTGCGCTCACACTGAGACTCTCTGCTCGTGACCTTCGTTCCGCCAACTACACCACCCTCCAAGGATTTCGTGCCCACCCAGTCACACCCTCAAAGCCCCTTATAGTAGGAACCGCTTTTCAGTATTTAATATATCTGGGGCAGATTTGTTTAGAATCATAGAATAGAATCATAGAGTTGGAAGAGACCACAAGGGCCATCGAGTCCAACCCCCTGCCAAGCAGGAAACACCATCAGAGCACTCCTGACATATGGTTGTCAAGCCTCTGCTTAAAGACCTCCAAAGACGGAGACTCCACCACACTCCTTGGCAGCAAATTCCACTGTCGAACAGCTCTTACTGTCAGGAAGTTCTTCCTAATGTTTAGGTGGAATCTTCTTTCTTGTAGTTTGGATCCATTGCTCCGTGTCCGCTTCTCTGGAGCAGCAGAAAACAACCTTTCTCCCTCCTCTATGTGACATCCTTTTATATATTTGAACATGGCTATCATATCACCCCTTAACCTCCTCTTCTCCAGGCTAAACATGCCCAGCTCCCTTAGCCGTTCCTCATAAGGCATTGTTTCCAGTCCTTTGACCATTTTGGTTGCCCTCCTCTGGACACGTTCCAGTTTGTCAGTGTCCTTCTTGAACTGTGGTGCCCAGAACTGGACACAGTACTCCAGGTGAGGTCTGACCAGAGCAGAATACAGTCGAATGTGGGATATGTCACCTTCCCCCACAAAGAGGAGCTCACCTTCTGCATCAGAGTGAGTAAACAAAAAACAGGGGGATCTCCTGGGGTTTCTTTTCAGAGCGTGGTTTTTTTTTTTAATAGCTGTGTAGGTCTAGCTCTGGGTTGCATGTTCTGACCATCTGGCCCCAAACCATTTATGGGTGGTCACGTTCTGCTCCAACTCAAGTTTCCAAACCCTCTTGAAAGGCAGCCCTACATTGTGGCAACCTCAGCAGGATGTCACCAGCGCCTAAGTAAAAGAGGCTAGGTTCTCCCAGGAGGAGAGGGCTGTCGATGGCTCCCAGCCATGATTGCTATCTTCTACCTCCACAGAGGAAGGAAGGAATGTTTCTGAATATCAGTTGCTGGAAGCCACAGGCGGGGAGAGGGCTCTTGGGCTCATGGTCTGCTCCCTGGTTTCTCACAGACGTCTGGTTGGCCACTGTGAGAATGCTGTGAGGATGCTAGACTAGATGGGTCCTTGGCCTGGTCCAGAAGGCTGATCTTATGTTCTTATGTGGTAGAGCTCTGCCCAGGAGAAAAATTGATCTTATTCCCAGATCCAGGAAGCCCACTCTTCTCCCCTAGAAGGACCCACTTGCCAATTGCAAAGAAGTTGTCAAGTGGGCTGGGCTGGATAGAGAGCACAATCCAGGGCTTGGTGTGGTGGTGGCAGGGATGGCGTCTCCAGTTCCCTGACATGCTGTGTGCTTCCCCACAACAGGAGGTTATCAAAGAGGAGCCACTGGCATCGCTGTCAGTCTTACACCAAGCGATGGAAACCATAATCCGCATGACGTAAGTACGGGAAGGTACTTCTATTCTCCCTACAGCTTGTCACTGCCCCACCTATTCCTGGCACCTCCCTTGCCATACCCTGAAATTGTACACCTTGGCCAGACACAGTACATATTTCCTCACCAGGTTTATGGACTGCTGGGTGCTGATCATTTCCTCTCCCCTTCTTTCTCTTTCCTCTTCAGTGCCTTGAGACCATGCATGGACACCCTGCTTTGGTCTCAGCTGATACAGAAAAGCATCAAGAAGGTCTTTCAGTTGCCCTCATTACAGTTTACAAAGGTCAAAGCCGGGAGCCCCGTGCCAGCAACACAGAGCCAGGTGACTGGACCTTCTGCAGAGCTGCCTTCAGATGTCTTCAGATGGAATTATAATTATGTATCTCTCTGATGGCTGATAGGAGGGTGTTCCACGGGGTGGGCCCCACCACCGAGAAGGCCCTCTGCCTGCTTCCCTGTAACCTCACTTCTTGCAGTGAGGCAGCTGCCACAAGGCCTTCTCAATAAACAACAACAACAACAACAAATGATACAGCAGAGGAAACACAGCCCAGAATAACTAAGGAGATAGTACAAGAATACTTGGCTAGTTTAGATGTATTCAAGTCTCCAGGGCCAGACGAACTGCATCCAAGAGTATTAAAAGAACTGGCAGATGTGATCTCAGAACCACTGGCAGTCATCTTTGAGAATTCCTGGAGAACAGGCGAAGTCCCGGCAGACTGGAGGAGGGCAAATGTTGTCCCTATTTTCAAAAAGGGGGAAAGAGAGGACCCAAATAATTATCGCCCAGTTGGTCTGACATCAATACCAGGGAAGATTCTGGAGCAGATCATTAAGCAAACAGTCTGTGAGCACCTAGAAAGGAATGCTGTGATCACCAATAGTCAGCATGGATTTCTGAAAAATAAGTCATGTCAGACTAACTTGATCTCGTTTTTTGACAGAACTACAAGCCTGGTAGATGAAGGGAACGCAGTGGATGTAGCCTACCTTGATTTCAGCAAGGCATTCGACAAGGTGCCCCATGATATTCTTGTAAAGAAGCTGGTAAAATGCGGTCTTGACTATGCTACCACTCAGTGGATTTGTAACTGGCTGACTGACCGAACCCAAAGGGTGCTCATCAATGGTTCCTCTTCATCCTGGAGAAGAGTGACTAGTGGGGTGCCACAGGGTTCTGTCTTGGGCCCGGTCTTATTCAACATCTTTATCAACGACTTGGATGATGGACTCAAGGGCATCCTGATCAAATTTGCAGATGACACCAAACTGGGAGGGGTGGCTAACACCCCAGAGGACAGGATCACACTTCAAAACGACCTTGACAGATTAGAGAACTGGGCCAAAACAAACAAGATGAACTTTAACAGGGAGAAATGTAAAGTATTGCACTTGGGCAAAAAAAATGAGAGGCACAAATACAAGATGGGTGACACCTGGCTTGAGAGCAGTACATGTGAAAAGGATCTAGGAGTCTTGGTTGACCACAAACTTGACATGAGCCAACAGTGTGACGCGGCAGCTAAAAAAGCCAATGCAATTCTGGGCTGCATCAATAGGAGTATAGCATCTAGATCAAGGGAAGTAATAGTGCCACTGTAGTCTCCTTCTTTGGAGGTCTTTAAGCAGAGGCTTGACAATCATATGTCAGGAGTGCTCTGATGGTGTTTCCTGCTTGGCAGGGGGTTGGACTCGATGGCCCTTGTGGTCTATTCCAACTCTATGGTTCTATGATTCTAACAACAGCCCCCACTGAAGATTTGATTGCTAGGGCAATGGAGGTTAAAGTACGATAGTTAGGACCAAATGGTTTGGAACACCCCAAAGAAGTTGAGCCCAGTGTGGAGTCCTGTATCTTTATATCCTATGACCTGTAACCTTACCTTACATACATCAAGAAACGTTTGATGTTTATGACTCTTTGTGCGCTGTGTTTGAACCCCTGCATAAGCTTTGTTACGAATTTGCTGAGCAGCTGGTGGGCAAGGCTGCCCTATCGCAATAGCCCTAATATACTGGGTCCCTAGTTGGGTCTGCTGAAGCTTGCTGTGATTCTCTTGATTCTGCATGCCATTTAAAAGGTGTTCCCTCACCTGGGCAATGGACGGGTGGTATAGAAATAAAGTCTTAGGACAACAGCCCCCCCTGTGGCTCTTTCCCTCTTTTCTCATTCTGGCTATGGGCTGCAAAAATAAATAGAGTTGAAGAATGTGTTCTTCTCCTGATGTGCTGCCATTGGCCCCAGTCAGCATGACCAAGAGTCAGGAGTGGTTGAAGTCCAAGAACCAGGCATGGGGAACCCGAGGTGCTCCAGAACCAGAACCATAGAATCGTGATAGCTGGCCATCCAACCTCTGCTTAAAAACCTCCAAGGAAGGAGGGGGCTGTTGAGCTCACGACTTGCTTGCAGGTTTCCCACTGGGTCACCTGGTTGGCCACTGTGAAAAGGGGATGCTGGACTAGAAGGCTCCAGAGCATATGGGATTTCCATGGGGGTCTTCAGCTTCTAACTGCTTTTGCTTCTCTCCTTCCAGGACTATTATCAAGAGACCATCTACACCTGCCTCAACATGATCACCAGCTTGCTGTCGGAGGCTCCCTCTCTGGAGATGCTGCAGGAGATATTAGTGGTAAGGGAGCCCCCAAGATGTCAGAGCAGGGGGAAGCGGCAGCTCCCATGCCGGAGGACAGACCCTCTTGAAATGATTTCACGGGGGGCATCTGTGGCCAACTCACTGGTTGTGGGTGCTGATGGTCAAATGGGCCTCTGTTCTGCTAGGAATGCTTGTGCAAGGCACACATTCGTTTCCTTTCAAAGATATGTCCTCTGCTGATGGCATATGGGGAAGGGCCGTGGCTCATGGGCAGAGCATCTGTTTTGCATGCCCAAGGTCCCTGGTTCAGTTCTCAGCATCTCCAGGTGGGGCTAGAAAAAGGCTCTCTGTCTGAAAGCCCAAAGGGCCAACTGCCAATCCTCATTACCTGTGGATCAATGGCTGGGCTTGGTCTAAGGATGTTTCCTGCATTCCATTGCTATGGCTGTGGTGAGGTGTATGTTGTATTATTGTAATTATCACACACAAACACACACAAATGACAGATCGCAGGGCTGTTCACAACATAAAAATACAAAATCAGAACACAAAATGCATAATAAAACAAAAACAACCCAAAAGCCAATTAATATCTAATTCTACTAATGCTTTGTTTCTTAATGGGTTATTTTTTCTATGTCTTTAGTTGTTTTTATTTTGTTTGTAAGCTGCCTCGAGTCCCTGTCAGGGAAAAAGGTGGGGTATTATTATTAATAATAATAATAATAATAATAATAATAATAATAATAATAAACAAATTGCAGCAAACTTTCTCCTTTACAAAACAACCCCTTTTTGCAATTTGTCCCCTCTATGAAGCTTTGTGAATTTGCAAACCCGGATTAATGGTTGTCCTTCCATGTGATGATGATGATTTCTCTCCCACAGCACACAAATGGCTGGATTGACTCCACAAAAATCAGTGAGAGGCAAAGAGCAGTCAAGAGCACCAACGTACTCATGAAATATGTCTCCGAGCATTTGGACTTTGATGTGAGTCAAATGTGAGCTTAACGCTGCAATTTTAAATTGTATTGCATTGGAAAGTTCAGGTGTGAACTAGATGAAAGCTGTATGGCATGGCCATCCCAGGGGAAGGTGCCAGCCAGTGCTATTTTTCTAGAAAAAGAGGTGCCAGGACTCACCATGAACTCACCTCCCTCGTTCTCTTATAATGGCAAAAGCGCCCCCCTGAGAGGTGCCAGAACTGAGTTCCAGTGAGTTCTGGCTGGGGAAAAAGCCCTGGGGCAATCCTAGGTTGGGCCACCTAAGCACAACCTTTGCCGACTGAAAGCATGCCAGATGGTTTTCTCTTGCTGGGCTCTGTGGGACGAGGGCTGACTGTGCATCTCTCTCTCTCTCTCTCTCTCTCTCTCTCTCTCTCTCTCCACCTCCTAGGTATCCCAGGATTTCCCCCTTCTTGGACAGCTGGTGGCGCTCTTGTCCCTTCACCTCGCAGACAACGTGAAGGAGATTGGCCTGCAGTCAGCGGAGGCCTTGTACCATCTCCATTACATCATGATAGCCAAAATGGGTGAGGGCAATGCTGGGAAATGGCTTGTTTCTTGTAAGCCGCAGGGTGGGAGATCTGTAGCCCGACAGAGGCTGCTCCAACTCACATCATCCCTGAGGGTTGCCCATGCTGGCTGGCTGCTGGGGTTGATGGGAGTTCAGGAGGGCAAGAATTTGTGCCAGCAGTGGCCTAACGCCAACACCCCGTTGGCCAGAGACAAGAGGGCAGTCTTGGGGGAGGGATTCACTGCTGAAGAACATCAGAAAAGCCTTCTGGACCTGACCAGTGGCCCAGTCCAGTCCAGCATCCTGTTCCCACAGGCGTTGACCAGATGCCTGTGGGAATCCAGCAAGCAGAATTCAAACTCCAGAGCTCTTTCTTCTCCTGTGCTTTGCTGCCTCTGACCATGGAGGCAGAGCATAGCCATCCTGGCTAATACCCATCAGTAGCCTTCTCTTCCATGAATTTGCCTCATCTTCTTTGAAAGCCATCTTGGTCCGTGGCCATCAATGCCTCCTGTGGCAGGGAGTTCCAAAGTTTAGCTGTGCACTGCAAGAAGAAGGACCATCCTGAAACTTCAGTTTCATTGGAGGTCCAGTTGTTCTTATGTTATGAGGGCGAGAGAGAAAGCTTTCTCTCTCCACTTTCTCCATGCCATACATTGGGTCTCCTCTTCCTCACCGTTTTTCTAAACGGAAAAACCCTCCAAATGCTGCAGCCAGCATTTGCTCCACAAGCACCCCAGCCCTTTTGGTTGCCCCCTTCTGAATCTTTTTTCCAGTTCTGAATTATAATTTTTGAGGTGAAATCGATAATTGTTTTTGTTGGTCCCAGTGAGAAAACTGGAGGTTTTGAGCAGGGAGTACTAATGCTGTGTTCTTTTGCATGCATATTCCAAAACCCGTCCCTGCTTAGGTAAGGAACTGAAGAAGGGGGGGGGAATAAAAATAAGAAAGGCAACATGGTCAGATGGGTCCGATGGGAGAGCCAGTGTGGTGTAGTGGTTAAGAGCGGTAGTCTCGTAATCTGGTGAACCGGGTTCGAGTCTCCGCTCCTCCACATGCAGCTGCTGGGTGACCTTGGGCTAGTCACACTTCTTTGAAGTCTCTCAGCCCCACTCACCTCACAGAGTGTTTGTTATGGGGGAGGAAGGGAAAGGAGAATGTTAGCCACTTTGAGACTCCTTCGGGTAGTGATAAAGCGGGATATCAAATCCAAACTCTTCTTCTTCTTCTTCCGAGAAGACTTCTTCATCCCTGGGCCCTCCCTCTTCTACAACGACATCTCAGAAGTGGCCAAGGTAGGTGTGGCTTTTGTACTCTTTATTGCTAAGACCGCAGCCACTACCAGTTAGCAGAGATTTGTTCATTCGGGTAAATGGGACCCTGCCTCACCAACTTCAGCCTGCCCTCAGGCAGCCCACGCCTTCTAGGGATGAGGGAGAGATTCAGAGCAGTTCACATTGGAAGCTAAAGCTTTCAAATCGAGGCTTTCAGAAACAACAGGAGAAATGAAACACAACCCGCCTTTGAAATTCACATGTCCTTGAATTTCGCAATGCCAAACAGTGTGTAAAAAAATCCATGCGTGAGCTATTAGTGTAAATAACATTCAGAAATGCATTGTATTAGAATAAATTGCTCAAAGACAAGTGCCCGGTAGCCTAAACTGCATGCAGAATTCTACTTATTGAAATTCTACCAGGTGCTGGGAGACCTAGGGTTCAGATCCCCATTGGAAGGGATCCAAATGGTCCGCATCCTCCAGGCGTGCTTGGAGTTGTTCAGCAACCACTCGCTCAATCACCTTGCCCAAGAATGGAAGATTTGAGACTGGGCGATAGTTGGCCATATTGGCCGGGTCTAAAGATGTTTTTTTAAGAAGCGGTTTAATGACCGCCTCTTTCAGCGGGTCTGGGAAGGCTCCCTCACAGAGGGAAGCATTCACCACCCTGCAGAGCCCATTGCCCAGCTCTTCCCAGCTTGCTTTTATTAGCCAGGATGGGCAAGGATCAAGGAGACAGGTGGTCGGTTTCACTTGTCCAAGCAGCCTGTCCACATCCTTGGAGGTAACAAATTGGAATTGATCCCATGTAACAAGACTAGACAGAACTCTAGCACTCTCCTGCCCTGGCCCTGCTCCCACAGTGGAGTCTACCTCCTTCTGAATCTGAGCGACTATCTGCAAAAAACTTTGCAAAAGCATTGCAGAAGATATTGTGGTCCCTACCAGGCCCCGGTGGTGCAGGTGGTTCCGATAGATTGTGAACCACCTGAAAAAGTCTCTTGCTGCTGTTTTCTGCAGATGCAATAGAGGCAGTGAAGAAGGCCCTCTTCGCCGTCGCCATTGCCACTTGGTAGGCTCAACGTTGAGCTCTAGCCCGTGTCCGGTCTGATTCAGAATGAGTTTTCCGCCACCGGCACTCTAGCCATCTCAGTGATTGTTTCATTGCCCTCAGCTCTGGGGAAAACCACGGGGCTGTCCGGGCTCCATGCAATTGGAGAGGGCGCGTCGGAGCCAGACAGTCAATGTTGTTGTTGTTGTTGTTGTTTAGTCGTTTAGTCGTGTCCGACTCTTCGTGACCCCATGTGGGACAAGAAGCTACAGTTAGAACTGGATATGGAACAACTGATTGGTTCAAAATTGGGAAAGGAGTACGACAAGGCTGCATTTTGTCTCCCTGCTTATTTAATTTGTATGCAGAATACATCATGCGAAAGGCTGGGCTGGATGAATCCCAAGCTGGAATTAAGATTGCCGGAAGAAATATCAACAACCTCAGATATGCAGATGACACAACCTTGATGGCAGAAAGTGAGGAGGAATTCAAGAACCTTTTAATGAGGGTGAAAGAGGAGAGCGCAAAATATGGTCTGAAGCTCAACATCAAAAAAACGAAGATCATGGCCACTGGTCCCATCACCTCCTGGCAAATAGAAGGGGAAGAAATGGAGGCAGTGAGAGATTTTACTTTCTTGGGCTCCATGATCACTGCAGATGGTGACAGCAGCCACGAAATTAAAAGACGCCTGCTTCTTGGGAGAAGGGCAATGACAGGCCTAGACAGCATCTTGAGAAGTAGAGACGTCACCTTGCCAACAAAGGTCCGTATAGTTAAAGCCATGGTTTTCCCAGTAGTGATGTATGGAAGTGAGAGCTGGACCATAAAGAAGGCTGATCGCCGAAGAATTGATGCTTTTGAATTATGGTGCTGGAGAAGACTCTTGAGAGTCCCATGGACTGCAAGAAGATCAAACGCATCCATTCTTAAGGAAATCAGCCCTGAGTGCTCACTGGAAGGACAGATCGTGAAGCTGAGGCTCCAGTACTTTGGCCACCTCATGAGAAGAGAAGACTCCCTGGAGAAGACACTGATGCTGGGAAAGATGGAGGGCACAAGGAGAAGGGGGCGACAGAGGACGAGATGGTTGGATAGTGTTTTCGAGGTTACCAGCATGAGTTTGACCAAACTGCGGGAGGTAGTGGAGGACAGAGGTGCCTGGCGTGCTCTGGTCCATGGGGTCACGAAGAGTCGGACACGACTAAACAACAACAACAATTCCTCCTCACTTTCTGCCATCAAGGTTGTGTCATCTGCATATCTGAGGTTGTTGATATTTCTTCCGGCAATCTTAATTCCAGCAGGGAATTAAGCAGGGAGACAAAATACAGCCTTGTCGTACTCCTTTCCCAATTTTGAACCAATCAGTTGTTCCATATCCAGTTCTAACTGTAGCTTCTTGTCCTACATAGAGATTTATCAGGAGACAGATGAGGTGATCAGGCACTCCCATTTCTTAAGAACTTACCATAGTTTGCTGTGGTCGACACAGTCAAAGGCTTTTGCATAGTCAATGAAGCAGAAGTAGATGTCTTTCTGGAACTCTCTAGCTTTCTCCATAATCCAGTGCATGTTTGCAATTTGGTCTCTGGTTCCTCTGCCTCTTCTAAATCCAGCTTGCACTTCTGGGAGTTCTCGATCCACATACTGCTTGAGCTTTCCTTGTAGAATTTTAAGCATAACCTTGCTAGCGTGTGAAATGAGTGCAATTGTGCGGTAGTTGGAGCATTCTTTGGCACTGCCCTTCTTTGGGACTGGGATGTAGACTGATCTTCTCCAATCTTCTGGCCACTGCTGAGTTTTCCAAATTTGCTGGCATATTGAGTGTAGCACCTTAACAGCATCATCTTTTAAAATTTTAAATAGCTGGAATACCATCACTTCCACTGGCCTTGTTATTTGCAGTGCTTTCTAAGGCCCATTTGACTTCACTCTCCAGGATGTCTGGCTCAAGGTCAGCAACCACACTACCTGGGGTGTACGAGACATCCATATCTTTCTGGTATAATTCCTCTGTGTATTCTTGCCACCTCTTCTTGATGTCTTCTGCTTCTGTTAGGTCCTTTCCACTTTTGTCTTTTATTATGGTAATCTTTGTACGAAATGTTCCTTTCATATCTCCAATTTTCTTGAACAGATCTCTGGTTCTTCCCATTCTGTTGTTTTCCTCTATTTGTTTTTTGTTTTTTGAAGCAAGAAAATAGAGTAAACTTTATTGAATTGTCCCCACAAATGTTTAAAAACAACAAAATGCATAACAACCAAAGATCCATTTGGGAGCAGACAAGAGGAGGAAAGTGCAGAGTGGCGGCATTTCCCCTGCTCTGAACAATCCTCCAGGTTCTCTGTGGTTTGGGAGAGGCTCACAGCGCCCCCTAGAGGGCACCAGCCCCCTGTTTTCATTCAGCCCCGACCACCCGCCAATGGCATCTTCCCTATTCAGTCCTCCAGGATCTCGGAGAACAGCTCCCACCGTTTCTTCTTCGCCTTGTGGTGGCGCTCCCAGTCTTGGCGGCGCTTGAGGAAGTGGGTCAGGGAGAAGTTGCGGACCAGGAAGTGCCCAAAGGGGTCATTCTGCAGCCGTGATTCATGCTCCGCCAGTTCCTGCGCCATCTCTCGCTTGGCTGGCAGGGTGGCCTTGTTCCAAATGGCGTCGAGGACACGGCTCCCGTGCTTGCTGCAAGCCAGAGACACGTAGCAGCCCTTGAGCCGACGCAGCACCTTGCGCGTCTGTTTCTCGGGGATGGAGGGGCTGGCCAGGAGGGCATCGAAGACGTGGCTGCCCGCCGGGTCGCGAGCCAGGGTGACCAGATCCTCGGGAGTCATGGCAGCCAGGCTGCGCAGCACAGCAGAGGGGTCGGCGAAATGGAGAAGGTGCTGGAGCATCAGCGAGCCGTGGTAGGAGATGGAACTCAAGGGGCGGGATGGACCGGCCTGTTGCTGAGACGGATCCTCTTCTTCGTCCTGCGGGGTGTTCTCGTCATCGTCCTCGCCATAATACACCTCGTAGGCCAAGACGGAAGCAATGAGAGGGACGCAGGCTGTCTGGCGGGACGGGGGCTCCCAGCAGTGGAAAGCCTCCATGAGGAGTTGCAGCACCTCCTGCTGGTGAGAACCGTGTTTTCTGCAGGCTCCCAGAAGCGCTGTGATCAGCCCCAAGTGCTCACAGGCCAAGATCTCTTCCACGCCGGGGCCCAGCTCCTCAAGGATTTTTCCCAGCAATTTCCTGGAGGCTGCCTGGATGAGCCGCTGCAAGGTGTAGTTGGCCACCTTGTGGGCTGCCAGGACGTGAAGCTGCCCTTTCATGTGGGCCTTATAGAAGGAGAGCAAGGCTTTCCGGTCAGACACTTCCAGGACCTTGTCCAGCACCCGGCTGCAAGTGGCGTCCTTCAGAAAGACCAGGAGGGGGCTCTGCCCAGGAGACACATTGCGGGAGCTCAAGTAGCCAATCATCGAGTGGCACAGCTCTGAGCAGTCCGCTGGCAGCTTCCGGTGCAAGACCTCCAGCGCCACCTGGAGGCAGAGGCTGAAATACTTGTTGGTGATGAAACTTGGATGAAGCTGGCGTGGGTGTCCAGAGCAAAGGTTGGCAGCTCCTCCTGCACGGCCCTCGCCAGCTCCAGGACCTGGTCCTCCAGCTCCTCAGCATCCTCTGCTCCCTCCGAAATCAGGACCGGGGCTCTGAGCAGGGCGGCCTCCAGGATGTGAGCCCCGCAGGGGTGGCAGGCGGCCAGGCGCAGAGCAGGAAGGAAGGCTCGCAGCAGGCGGTGGCCTCTTGTTTCTGGTGCGTCCCCCCTGGCCTCTTGTTTCTGGTGCGTCCCCCCTGGGACCCCCCTTGCCCTGACCATCGGCGGCCCCTTCTGGGAATCTTCTGATTCACTGGAGAAGCTCATGGAATCTCTCGGGTCACTGTCATACTCCCCTACGCTGCCCTCAGATTCTTCCCCTTCGCTCTCCCT